ATGTTATCTGTGTGTCTTGTCCCTACAGCATCAATTCTGGGTATTTTTTTGGTGGGCAGGGAGAGGGGAAAGCGGTTGTATTTTTGTGTCACGTCATGTTCACGTTGTTCTCTTTGGCTGGGATTTTCTGAAACTGAGTCATCATAGCAATTGATCTGTGATATATTGTGCAATGATTTACATTTCTTTAATAAAGCAGAATTATTTTGGCCTGCCTTTACATTTTTCTGAGTTAAGTTTTGTGGGCTTGTGGAAGAGTAGGCAAGCAGGAGTATTTGGGTGGAGTTTGATTTCCATTCAAGTAATTATTATTTGAAGTTCCAATAGAATTATCTCTTTAGAAGTTGCTGAATTCTTATCTTTAAGGTTTCTAATTAAGTGTTAAATTTTGAAGTGATACATTGGTGTCCACAGTATAATCAAGCCCTACTGCATGAACTTAAAACACCACAAAAAGAGGAAAAAAAAATTATTTGGTAGAGAGGCTTGGACCAGCACATCGAACATACCTTTCAGTGAGTTACTAAGAGAGTTAGATACAACCTGCTTTTTCTGTTCATCTTGCAGGCCAAAGATAACAAGGCTTGACTTCAAGAAGAACAAACTCACTCTAGTTGTTGTTGAAGATGATGAACAGGTAGATAACTATCTGTTTAGTTACATCTCAGTCTTGATTATACAGTACTAGTTTACATACTCCTGATGTCTTTCTTTAAGTTTTGAGAATTAACGTGGATGCCTTGCAAGATTTTTGATTGTGACTTGGAAGGAGGAGAGGAATGAAGGGACTTAAGTATAAAATAATAGGCTCAATTACTTTTTTTTCCCACGCTGTTTTTAAAACGGGAATACCTTGTGAAACTAGTGTAGACCGGATAATTTGTGCATTGTGCAAGAAAGTTTAAAAAAAAGTCATGTACCACTTTTAGTGGGATGAATTCCTTAAGAAGGTGCCAGAATTGTTCCCATGGGAAGAAATTGTTCAGAGCTGAGATAATAAAAATGTGAGTATTGGTAATTTGAGGAGATCAGATTTGGAAGTGAGACCATGTTAGCCTCATTGAGAAGTACCTTCCTATTATAATGACGTCTTTAATTTGTAGTTATTCAGAGGTTTGAATTGTTTAATATATGGGTTCTAGCCCTTTCCAACTTAAAACAATGGAGCAGTTGTTCATTAAAGCTTCTGAAAAGGTTGATTTTTCTGCCTAAAGTATTTTTTTAAACATACATTTCAGTATTCATAAAAAACAAAATTTTTTTTGGCTTGCATTGAATTGTAGCTTTTGACTTATTCAAGCCCCTCGTAAATTGTCGGTGTGCTTTGTGTGCTTTAAGGGAAAGGAGCAGGAGCACACTTTTGTCTTTAGACTGGATCATCCCAAAGCCTGCAAACACTTGTGGAAGTGTGCAGTGGAGCATCACGCCTTCTTCCGGCTCCGAGGTCCTGTCCAAAAAAGCTCAAGTCGATCAGGCTTCATTCGGTTAGGATCCCGGTTCCGATACAGGTCAGTGTCATCTGTCATTTAGCACATATCTTCTGCCGTTTCTTGTTTTTCTTGGATTATGTATGGAAACAAGAGAGAACTTGGTATTCATTCACCTAGGACATACAAAGCAGTGAAACTTGCAAGCTGAATGAGTTGCATTATTGGTTTTATTATATCATACGGATTTTCCCCCTGCATTTTCTGATTTATCTTTAAGTGATTCTGGTCTGTGCAGTAGGAAACCAAAGGTTTCTCAAAGTTTATGTTCCTTACATAGCATATATAGTACATTGTGTTTTATAGATCACTTAATCTTGAAAGCCCACCGTCTTTTAAATGAACCATAGAGGATGGATGATTGACTTGCACAGCTGGGGCATTGCAAGTCTTCTGACTCCTGACTTCCTGACTATTTGAGTGATGGTGGTGCTTCAGAAGCCTAAGATAATGCCCGTTCCATGTTAGGCAGTAGCCATGCATGTAAGACTTCCAAATGACTTGTGGTCCCAGACTAGTCTGCAGGATGCCATGAGTTGCCCCACCAGACTTGGTGGAACATATGGAAGGGGGTGGGGCATGACCCCAGACAGTATGCATATACTGTGTTGCCATGTCCAGCAACTGTAGCATTACCATCTAGTCTGCTTCAGAAGGGATCAGTGGTACCAAGGAGTCAGCAGAACATGAAGCTGCTACTGCCTTGGGGGCAGAGTCTGGCCAAACTTGGGGAAAAAAAGATTTGCCTAGGAACAAGAGTGTCTAGATGCTGGTTTTTAGTCCTATTATCATCTTTCTCTATGACCTTTGGCAACATACCTTAAGCTTTACTCTCTCCTAGAATTTTCAACCTCTCCCAAACCGCATGCGCGGTGACCACAGAAATATGCAAAGGGCAAATGTGCTTTTTCAGCAACTTAATGTTTAAGGAGTCATTGCTTCAGCCTTCTGTCTTGGGAAAATGGGGTGAAGATGAGGATGTCTGTAAAACTCCTTCCCTTTTTTGTGAAAGGCCATCTGAGGTGTTAAGTTTGGTATTTTTTAATAGAACTGAGATTAGATTGTTAAGCTGTAAATTTAAAACAGAAATGTGATGTTTTGGTGAGCAGTGTCTGTATTCTGTCATTAAAAATAAGTGATTTATTTTATTGTTTCGTACTTTTACATGGCATTGTTAGTGGGAAAACAGAGTATCAAACCACCAAGACCAACAAAGCCAGAAGATCGGCATCCTTTGAAAGAAGGCCCAGCAAGAGATATTCAAGACGAACACTGCAAATGAAAGGTAAAAGACCTTCCATTTTGAGAAGTATAATGCACTGTGAGAATCAAGTGTTCATATCCTTTAAAGGTTCCATGTAGGAATTATTCTGTAGCTGTTTGCCCTTCTCTTGAATTTTCAAAATTAGGTTTTCTTTGGCTTATTTGGGAGACCACATGTATTTATCAGAAAAAAGCTTGTGTCCAAAACAGTAATTCTAGCTTGCCTAGCAGGTAAAACACCCGTGAAGTCTCTGTATGAAGATGGAAAACTTGAGCCCAGGAAACAGCAATGTATTAATGATAACATTTGAAATTTATCAGTCAAGTTTGAAATTCTTGTCATTGAGATTTTTTCACTGTTCTTAAGAGTTGCACTCTGTTGTCACAACCTGACAGCATGTGATACCTTGTCTGTTATTCCCACTCTAGCACAGGTCAAGTGTGACCTCCATGCATGCTTTCAAATACTTGCTTAAATCCTGACTCTTTAGTTTGCTCTTTGGATTTTTTATTTTATTTTTCCAATTTAGAATATTATTTTTCACACATTGTATATGGGATACATCCAACTTTTCCTCTTTTAGTTGGCTACTTTTAGGCAGTGCTAGACTATTTTTATTAATAATATACTTAATATTTAACTGATAACCTAATTACAAATTAAATTTTAATTAACACTTTATATTTTTGCAGCACATGCTGCTAAACTTGAAGAAACAAGGTAAGATGCATTCCAGTGTTTAAATTTCTCTTTGATGTTTGCCACCTGTACTTGAGCATGTATCTGCAGAAGGAGGTTGTAAGATTAGTTAAAACAGAGAGAGTGTTAACCTCTTAACTGTGGTTTTGCTGTGGGTTTTGTGTTTGTTTGCTTTACGTAAAACCTACTGTTCAAAGCAAAGCTGCTGTGTTGCTGTCACACAGAAGGTTTTGCCAGGCTTGCTTACTAGCAGGCAAAGAGGTTTGTTTATGACTGGCTATGATTCTTGCTGGGTATGAGCTGTAGTTCTGTGTGCTACTATGTAAAGAGACCAGATAGAAGCATGTGAGGATGTCTTCTTTCTGAAATCTGCCTACTCAGGGTGTGTGACTGAAATACATAATCAAGTGAAAGTCAGAGACAGGGAAGATACAGTAAAATAAATATTTGAAATATGTTGATGATTTTATATTCTGTACTGTACTTGCATGTATTTTTATATACTTAAGTATTTATTTTTATTTATATGAAATTACTCATGATCAACATTCAGAGGGAGGCCTTTTGGTTCTTTATTTCCATACCTAGATTCTTTGTGTGTAGGTTCATACTTGCTGTTGCAATGTAAAATAGTCATACGAATCTGAATCATACAGTTTTCATACCCTTCCTTAAGGGAAGAGAGGTAACCAAGCTAAAAAGAATCACCTGGTAGCAAAGGAACTAAGTCACTTGGTTCTGGTTTCTGTCCTTTGCCCTTATAATAACTTGTGAACATTGCAATGGTCAATTGCAACCAAACTATTTTTTAAAAGTAGAATACTTGTAGATGCTAAGTGTCATGACAGTCAGGAGCTGGGTAAGGAATGTCAGAATAACATTTCAAAACAACAGGCTTAATACAGCCATACGTTTTCTGTTTGTAGCAGCAGGGTTGATTCTTGCATGAGGGGGGGAGAAGTCCAGGAAGTGTGGGGACAAGGCTGCAGTTCCTGTAGTGGGGGTCTCTCTGTGACCTTCTGTATTGTCTTTTCATAAAATGGGAAAGTACTCTTCAAAACTGGGTGTCATTAAAGTGCTTAGAGATCCTCTGCATGCAAAAGGTGACTGTCTGATTAATTAGTACTCTCGTCATGTGTTCTCCTGCCCTTCTCCAAGTTTAATGCTGCTTAGGTCATTCTGAGAATGAGAAGAGAAACTTCATATGCAGTTTCTGCTTCTGATAAGATGGCGGTCTTCTGATCTGTATCTAGGTGTGGCACTGTTATGTTAGTCTCCAGAGCAATCTATGCCATTTCTGAAACTATACACTCAAGCATTGCTAATTGAAATGCATCATGAAAGATGTATGCAGTTCCATTCTTTTGTGTTAACTCAGCACAGGGGAACGTGCTACCCAGAAGGCGTTCCTTAATATTTCTGTTAAATGTGCACTTTTCTGTGGTAACCTCCACATTCTCTCAATAGAGAAGGTGCAAAGATGGGAAACAGGCAAGGAATAGCTTGTTTGGTCTTGACATTATGGTATTTAAGTAAAATAATTCTAAACAATCGCTGAAATAGATACAGAAATCTATTTGAATTGTCAGCTTGCCAGGTTGGATAGCTATTGTTCAGACTGTAAATCAAAAGATTAATGGGTCATAGGAGACAGGGTCCATTTTCTAAAAGATTAGAAGTCTGGGAAAAAAGTTTGCTTCGCATGAGATTTATAATGTGTAATTATTGTGCAGGGTGTTAATGCTTTTAAGTCTCTCAAAAATGTGTAAATGTAAAAAGTCTCTTGCAGATTCAGAAATCATCAGGAATAGGGATATGGCTCTTATTTAAGTTATTAAATATATTAAATATTTAATAATATGAAATTATTATTAATGCTGTGCTGATCTGCTGTGCACATCATTTTGAATGGCTGCTTTTAAGACTCTGAAGCAGCAATTCAGTCCATTAGAGGTTGTATGCAGAAGAAACTCGTGAATTTTTCTGATAAACTTTGATGTGAAACTTCAAATCAGAAGTGTCCTAATTATGGAACAAACATAGTATCTACAGCATGTAGGTGAGGTTTCAACAATGTCACATCTTGCTGGGTGTTTAACTAAAGCTGTCTAATTTTTGCTCTAAAAGTGCCCTGCCTTACTGCTGAATCAGGAAGACTTTCTAAACTGAACTGGTTTAGGAAAGGAAGAGGAAAAGCCAGGTGAATTGCAGATAAACTACAGCTTGAACAAATGAAAAAATAATGTGATACCCTTAGTTACCTAGAATGAGACAGCTGACCTAAACCATAAGTTTTTAAGTTTTCTTTTAAGAACAGTTAAGTACTTTGGAAAGATCTTTGTTAGAGTTTATGTTTCTTTCTGAAAATCCTTGCAGTTCTGTCAGCCTGCAAAAATAGTTTGTTGATCTGATTCTGATTTAAATTCTTTTTGTCTTTCAGTACTGCAAACCATGCTGTTACCAACCAAACTAATGGATCACAAGTAAGGACACTCTCATTCTTTTTAAAGGCAGTTTTCATGTATTTCAATAGATCCAAGGATTTCATTATTCCTTCTTAAAATCCAGTGATTGACCAATTGAAAGTTACATGTAGTCAACTACTAAATTGTATGCCAAGAAATAACTACTAATTTACAAGCAAGATAATTGGTTAATTTAGCTGCAGTAAGGAAAATAACCCATGACCCAGTACTATTGAAATTATGCTATTTATAGGTACAGGTTTTCATAGGTACACAAAGTACCTTTGTGTGAGAGTTGTTATTATCCAAAGCATGTTAATTCTATATGCTAAGTAACACTGGGGCGGGGGGGGGCGGGGGGGAGGTGTAATTCGTCAGCACCTGTGTTGATTCTGGTTACAGTATTTTTTCTCTGAAAGAGGGGAATGCACCTGCAAATTAAAGAATATATTGTTAGCAAGAATTTGGTGTTTTCGGAGTTTGAGAAAGAAATCAGACACACCTGTCCACTCGGTACTTGTACACAGAATACCCTGTTTCACTGAAAACAGACATTAGTGTAGGGTAACTCTCCTTCTGGGTATCAAAAACCAGGACTTGGAGTTTGGAAAGACCCTGTCTTGCTTTGTGGAGTATTTCAGATGGAGAGTGCAACAGAAAGGGTCAGATATTGGTGGAAACAGGAATCTGGTTTGTTTTAGCATTAAAATACTCAGTCTACCCTGATAGATAGATTGCTGCTCTGCCCAGCCTTTTGCTTTCTATGCGAAAGGAGTTATTTTTTTCAGGAGCAGTTGTGTTTCAAATGGCAGTCCGAAGGCCTGCAACCCAAAGATGCCAATCATTATTGCAAAGTTACCTACAGAAGGAAAGCGTTACTGCATGAATTTAAAAAGGACACAGCAGGCCATAGCTTTTTACTGAAATCTTTGAGCAGCCTCGGATTCATTATGATCCCAGTACTGTGTGCAGTACTGGAAAAGACTGGGCATAGGCATCCAGTGCTGTGGAAGTAATGGAGGACAACAGCCTTGGCTTAGCTTTGTGCTTAAGAAGTGGTGATATGTTTTGTTATGTATAATGTGTCATCGCTTCATTAATGTGTGTGTAGTAACTTACTTGTTTATATTCTGTCTCCAAAGATCTGGAATGCAAAGCCAAACCTACCTGTCCTAACAGCAGTTCCTTCTACCCCAGTCTTAGTGGAAATAGAAAACCTCCCAAGAAGTCCAGGATTCAGCCAGCAAGACAAGAAGTGGTATGTTCTGCTTTGCTGGGAAATGAATTTTGCTTGCTTATGCGTGATTCAAGTGACTGTTTCTTTATGTGCACTTAAATAAGCCACCTTCCTTGTATCTTTAATGTAAGTTGACAGTGAAGTTAGTGATGATGCAGCTGATTTGTTGCTGTGAATGTAATGTGGGGAGGTGAGGACAACAGGCTTAGGCACTGCCAACTGAAAGAAAATTTCTTCAGGGGCTGAAGAAATTATTAAATCAGGAACAGCATTTTCAAGTCTTGGAGAGAGCTGGGTCCTTCTGATGTGCCATAATACTGCTTGTAACCCTTTGCTTGGTATCACGGGGCCCAAGGACTTACCTTGATCCTTAACAAAATGCAGAACCTTGTAAACCAGTATCCTTGTGAATCTCTTCTGAACCTTTTGAGAGGAGCAAGCTGATTTTTTCATTATCTGGGGGAGAATGGAAGCTTGAGGAAAATGACACAAGCTGAAGATGAGAGCTTTGATTTCCTGTAATCAAAGTATTTGTTTTATGGATTGGATGCATCTCAAAACGAGGATGATTTGTTTGAAGATAAATGTACCATATCATTTATCTTTTCTTGAAGTAATTCTATCTTGCAAAACTATTTCAAAACCAAAACTGTCATGTGTCAACCCAGTACTTGTGCACACATCATCTTAACTTCTTCAGCTTCTTGTGACTTCAGAAGCAGTATGGCTTATCCTTGAAGGGTAATTCTGGTTTCTGCAAGACTCCAGGAGCCGCAGTGATGGAATGGAGTGACACAAAAGCTCTTATCCTAAGCAGTTTCAGCCCTCAAGAGAAAAGATCCTTCTCCCATTGTCTGGCGTATGAACCTACTTTGCTTCAGTATCTCTTAAAAGTAGATGGTACCTCTTTCTAACAGTGCAATGACAAATATACTTTAATTTTGTAAATCTTACTGATTAAAAACTTTTAATACTATGGGTTTTAGATTATAAGGGGGATGATAATTCTGCTTTATCTGTTGCATTTTATTGACGTTTCAATCAGAACATATGATCAATGCTGTTTTTCTTTCTTTTGCCCTTGATTTGTCTAGTATCTGAAATCTATCCTTGTCTGTGGTGAGATCCTGTTGATCGCTCGATTCCTTCCGTGGTGGTGGGTGAAAGGTGGTGGTTTGTTTATTCTTCAGCATTCTCAATATGGTTCTATATTTGTTCTTTTGGTCTAATTGCAAGATGCGTGCTAGAAACCAGTATTTCCTTTGGAAATGTTTGACTCTTGCTCCAAACAGCTCTTCTTGGGTATCTGATTCGTTGCAGCATTCTTGCTAGTATTTGCAAGGCTTCTGTTGCTTATTGAAATCCTGCTGCTTTTGTTCAGAAGTAGAGAGGACTCTGTAGCCAATCTGTTTCAGTTTTGGTCTTGGTACGCCTGGTTTAGGATTAAGACCTTGAGCCTGTCTGTCTTAACATTGTCAAGGAATGGAAGTTTACGTGCCAGCTGCCGCAGTATGTAGCCTTTCTGTAGAAGAGTGGGAGTGAATATAAAATACACCTGCATGTAACCCAAAACAGTATGTCGTAAAGGACCCATGCTTCTTCGCAATTCATGAGTTTCAGTTGAGAGAGTAATGCTTGTACAGCATATGTGTTACGTTTCTTAGAGACATATTATTATTATTGAAGGCAGTTGTCTTCTGGCAAAGGAGTTTTATTGTTCACTAGCAACAGTACTGCCTGTAATTAAGGGCAAATCCAGCTGTAGGAAGAAGACAACAGTTTGGAGCTGAGTCAGCAACTGAGCTACGTTCTGGTTTCCTAGGTGGGAAGTGGGGTTAATATAATTGCCAGAACATATGTATTTATTGCGGGGGCTGTGACTTGGCTATTGCACCTTAAGTCTTGGTGTCTCGATGCTGCTAACAAAATCTCTTTTCAACTGCTGCTGTCTTTAATGGGCCTGTTTCTGCATGAATTATCTTTGCTTCCTGTCAGAAAAATAGTCGTCTTTTAGAGAGAGTTTGCCAAGGATTGTTGAGAACACCAAAATCTTTTGGACTGGGGATTTTGTAGATGGTTAGATTGAAGGGGTTTAGAAGTAAGGTCCCGACCTCTTGAGTTTCTGTACTCTGCTTGGCAGATGGCTGTATTGGCTACCTTGCAGCTTATATCCCTTCCTAATGTTAATGTTTCCTTTAATTTAGAATGTTAATGCTGCAGCAGCCAACAGCAATTGTGACAGATTGTAGAAAGTCCTTTGCCAGATAGGAAGGATTTTAGTGGTTTTATTCTTTTTTTTTTTTTTTTTTTTTTTTTTTCTTTTCCCCTGTATAATTGTCAGTACGGGGAAAACTGCTGGTCTGCATGGTCTGGAGTATTAGCTGCAAGGCTGGGAAGCCTAAAACACAATCAGTGTCTTTCTAACTTAAGTCTTTTGTCAAGAAGCTGTTTCTGTGCTAAGATAGGACAGGAGACAAAGGATTAATAATTTTTTCCTTATTGTGGAATAAATAGGGGTGGGGGGTTTTTGCTTGCTAGTGGATGTAGCTTTCACTTAACTGGTTAAATTAGAGAAATGGGAAAATAATGTAATGAACTGTTGAGGATTGGAGCCTTCAGTATTCATGGGTCACTTCCTCAGCAAGTTTCACAAAAAACAAAACTCTGAATTTACCCATTGGTGGCCTTTATATAAATCCTGTCTCTTTTCTAAAGGAGGACTATCCCTGAGCATTAATCATTTACCATCGTTGTGAATCCTGCATGCTTTTCTGCTTCCCTGCCTTAACGTGTGTGATCTTCCAACCCATGCGCTGGCTGCTTGGCTGTTCTGGCAGGGCTGGGAGTGTTAAACCGGGCTTTCTGGAACATGAGAAGGTGGAATTTGAGCTGGGGGCTGTCCAGGACCCTTCTAGATGAACAGCAACAACGTTTCCACTTTGTTTAGATTTGGGTCATTAAAGAGAGGATTTTACATTAAACTGAAAGAATACCTTTGTTTTAGGAATTTCTATGCCTCAGTAGTTTATGAGAGTGCTTTTTTCCAAGTACTTTTCTGATACCTGACTGTACTTTGCATCAGCCTCTCCGAAAACATACCAGTGAAGGATCCTAGTACAACACAGACAACAGTTAACAGATCTTTGTCAATTTTTTAAAGTCTTTTAAAATTCGGATGTTTCAGTAAATTGCTTATCCCTGCTGTTTTGGAGATGCTTGTGCCTAAAACCTTACAGTTTTCTAGCTAATGGCTCCTGCATAAAAATATTTTTCACAACACTGTTTAAAGTGATGAGTGTTCTCCCCTGCTCCTCTTTCTGGCTTTTGGAGAACTTTATTCCAACTGTGATATAGACTAGCCATAACTCTGCACGGCATTTCTGTGGTTTTGATTTTAAGAATTCAAAATTTAAAATTTATGAACCATTATGCCTTCATGTGCAAAATTAGAAAGCAAGGTCTTAGGTTGTATTGTGACCTTTTTTTAAAATGGTTCTCTTTCCTACTAAGTTTTTTTACGTTAATCAAGTATAGCTACAGTCAGCTTCTTCGGTAGTATTTAGTCCCTTAGTCAACTATATTGTGAATGATTTGTGTGTGCTCTACTGTTTGTTCCTGCACAGTAATGCTCATTTCTCCGAGCTTCTATTTTCTTCTCCTTTTTTTTTTTTTTCTAACTTGCATTAGAATCTACATTTTCCAGTGGCTTTGAAAACTGGTGTTGCTTACAGATGCTTGTTTCAGGTGTACATTTAGAGCTGCCACTTAAACCCTTTTGGCTTCCTGCAAATAAAATGCGCTGTATACTTGGGAGGTCTGTGCCTCCATCACATTATTTTCTCCCATCTGTAAAACGCGCATGGTTCCTGCTCCGTTTTGTGAAGTGCTTTGAAATGTGAAGTGCTTTTCATTTGGTAAGTGTAGACAATGTATACATGAGATAGCTTAACCTGTCATTTCAGACTTCTGCAAAAATGTGCATGATACTGAGCAGAAAAGGGGTTTATTTGACAGTGTCGTCATGTACACATATACTTGCATGCCTCTTCCCTTCAGTATTTATCTTCCAGCAATGCCCTTTTTCCTTGCCTTTTCGCATCAATCTTCTTGTCTTTATGTTTGTTTTACTTTTCCACCCTCTTTCTCATCCATACCTGTTTACTAATTGTGCCCCCTCCCACTCCCCAATAATCCAGGCCCTTTGATGCTGCCGACGGCTGTCAACGTGGTGGAAGCCCGTGGGACGCGTGGGCCCCGCCGAGGACCCGCGCTGTGGACGGACAGTACACCGCTTTTGTCCATGAGCGCAATGTGAAGAATGCGGGAATGCATAGCGGTGCTGGTGCCTATGCTGTCCAAACCACCATGACCAGTCTCTGAGACGTGGGCCTTTCTGGAGCTTGAGACTGCTTTCTAGCAAAGGCTGGAAAACTATGTTTTGAGCTTTCTCTGAGATAAGGACAACGGACCCAAAGCTGACTATAGAGGGGGGAAAAAAGCTTTTATTACAAAGGCACTGCATATTGTGCTGTTGGTATTTAGTCTTTAAAGAAAAAATAACATATAGACCAGATGTCACCCGTCGCTCTTATATTAAATGAGTGTATTATATATCTTTTTAATTGTGCTAAGGTTTTTCTTAATGATTGAAAGATTTTTTTTTTTATTATTTTTTAGCTGGGTTTAACTTTGAGAACCTTGCAGGAAGTCACATTCGTAATAAAACTATACGTGCAACTAGTGGGTTATAACGTGGTTTCAAAAATCGTAGAGAGATAGAGGATGTAACTTGCCCCTCCTTTTGAACCATGATTATTTAAAAATATCTTAAGATAGGTGGTTGATCTGAAAACTAACCTTTTTTTTTTTTTTAACAAATCCACTTCTGAAAAATATTATTTGGAAATGGAATAGAATTATTTTAATTTCTTAAGAATAAAGTTGTCAGAATTCCTGAAAAGGCAGAGAGTAATCTTTTTTGTTGTTTTCTAGAAATTTTTCTTTCTTTTTTGCTGCTGTGC